CCCTGACAGGGAACACAACAGAGAGTCCCTGATGGAGCAGGAGGAAGGTGGGGTTCAGAACTCAAATTCTAGTAAGAAGACCAGACTTAATGGTCTGACTGAGACTGGAGGAACCCTGGAGTGCATGGCCCCTGGATTCTCTACGAGCCCAGAACTAAAACAATTTCCGAGGCCAACTCTTCAGACAGGGATTGGACTGGACTGTGGGACATAAGGTGATACTTACGAGGAGTGTGCCTCTTAGCTCAAGTAGATACAAGAGACTAAACGGGCAGCTTCTGTCCAGAGGTGAGATGGGAAGGCAGAGAGGGTAGGGAGCTGGTTGAATAGACATGGGGAATCAGGGCTGGAAAGGAGGAGTGTGCTGTCGCAGTATGGGGAGAGCAATTAGGGTCACATAACAATGTATGTATAAATTTTTGTATGGGGGGAAAAAAGAGCACTGTCTGGCCCAAAAAAATACTGAATAAATAGTAGCTGTCACTAACTAACACAAATAGCACTTACGTTGTGCCAGATATTTAATCTCCACAAAACTCCCCATTTTATAGATGAAGAATGTGAAGCATCTAGAGGTTAAATGACTTGCTAAGAAGTAGCAGAGCTGGGATCTTTCCCCCCCAAAAACCCAAACTAGTTGCCATTGAGTCAATTTTGACTCATGGTGACCCCATGTGTGTCAGAATAGAACAGTGCTCCATACATTTTTCAACGGCTGTGATCTTTCAGAAGTAGACTGCCAGGCCTTTCTTCTGAAGCACCTCTGGGGAGACTAGAACCACCAACCTTTCAGCTAGCAGCTAATCATGTTAATCATTTGCACCACCCAGAGACTCCAGATCTTGCCTGGCCTCTGCCTTTTGACTCAGAGCCCACAGCACAGAAGAGGAAATCTTCACATACTGCAACACAGAGAGAGCAGCCGCTGTTCCAGAAAAGACTTCACCTGCTACTCTGATGGGTTCTCTCACATACAAAAGCAGCTCTGAACTTATAGGGAGAAGGACAGAAGGTATGCCCCCCTGCCCTCACCACTGCACATGGGCGTGTTCACTAATCTGTTTGTGGCGGTGGGGGGGGGGAGTGTAAATATGTATGCATGCATTTGACATTTCTTCACATGTACAGTCAGTGACATTATGTTCACCATGTTGATGTTAAATCATCTTGAGCTTCCTCTGCCATCGGGAGGAACTGGAGAAGTGAGCAGGGTTAAACCATTTTCATTTCCCTTGAACAACTCTGAAAATACCAAAACCCACTGCATTGCATATTTTAAAAGGGTGAATTGTGTGGTATGTGAATTATGTCTTCATAAAGCTGTTATAAAGAGTTCACTCCCCTGGCACCTCTGGGAAAAATTCCTTTAATAAAAGTTCTGGTACGTTTACACGATTGTCATCACACTTCATCTACAGCACGTAACAGGGTAAACAAAAAACAAAGGGCAACCTAGACGTGCTCTGTATAAAAACATAGGGATCCACCAAATGAAATGGGAGGCCTCGGGAGCTGGAGATGAGAGAGGGAGGCAGGAGGTGAACCCAGCAGCTCTGGGCTGGGTTTCTGGAGGACCCAAGGGGACGGCTGAGGACCTGCCTCTAACTTTTTGAAAATGGCATTTAAAAAAAAAGAGAAAGAAAACAAATTACGGTGCAAGAAGAGGCCTCTTTCTAAGGAGAAGGGTCCATTCCAGAGAGAAAGTCATAGGAGGGTCAGGGCCTGTCCAGGCCCAGGACACAGGGCGGAGCATTTTATAGCAGGTGAGAAACTTCCAGAAATTCAGCCTCCAAGGCAACCCTGACCTAGGCTGAGAGGTTTTCAGTGTTAAAGTCAATCTGCCCACATCCCTCCATTCTGAAAGGCTTAGATGCTAATTCTTTACAGTCAGACTCACGGACTCTCTTAAGTTGCTAAGGCCACTTCTTGACAAGCTCCAAAGTCCTTGGCTGAAGGGGGGACCTGGGACCCCTTGGAGGAGGGTACTGTGGCCTGAGGTTTAGTTCCTGGCCCTGCTGGCAGGGTGGCCTAGTTGTCCTCGCCACCACCGTACATGTCTGCCAGCTTCTTGAAGCGGCTGCCCCACTCACTCAGATAATCGTAATCTTGGTCCTGGTCAGAGGATGAGGAGGTGAGGGAGCTCAGGGAGGCCGCATCAGAGCCACCACCCTCGTAGTCGAACACCAACAGGGAGTCATAGGGTGGAGCCGTGGGGTCGCCATTAGCCGCCTTCAGGTTCTGTGGCAACAGAGAACAGATGGCTAGGAGAGCGGGACTCTGATGCTTGCCAGCTGCGAGAGCTCAGGCGAGCTGACTAACGTGGCTGAGCCTCCATTTCCTCACCTGTGAGGCTCTCTCTCCCTCCTTTAATTTTAGAGATTCATTAAAAAAAAGAAAAGTTACCATTACCGTCAAGTTGATTCTGACTCATGACAACTGCATCTGTGTCAGAGTAGAACTGTGCTTCATGGGGTTGTCAAGGCCTGATTTTTTTGGAAATAGATCACGAGGTCTTTCTTCCAGGGCACCTCTCGGTGGACTCCAATTTCCAACCTTTCGGTTAGCACCCAAAAGTGTTAATCGTTTACACCACCCAGGGGACTCCAGAGGTGCATATGAAGTACTTAGCACAGGATCCAGCGTACAGCAAGTACTCAAAGCGACCCAGGCCAGTGGTAGTGGCCAAGGGCAGGGACTGTGAAATCAGCCTGAGTTAGAACTCAGAGTCCACATACTAGTTTTGTGACCCTGGGCAAGTCCCTTAACCCTCTATGCTTCTGTTTCCTCATCTGTAAAATGGTGATGTTTCATACAGTTGTAGAAGAATGAATGAACATATGTAAATATATGTGAAGGACTTATTACAATATTACCTGGCATATAGTTGAACACTATTTTCTTTTCTGTAAAACAAAGATAATAATAGGGCCCCTACCTCACATTAATGTAGGGATCAAAGGAGTTAGTATTTGCAAAAATGCTCAACATGCAGGCGTTCTGGAAACTGTCTTCATCCAACTAGAGAGAAAGACCCCAGGTATTTAGCTCCAAGTATAAGGCATCTTCTCCAAACCAGGTGCCCTGAGCAGCTTTCCCATTTGTAAGAAACTGTTTCATACAGAACTTTCTCAAATACACTTATCTAAAGAACAGCGTCTCATCCCCAAGCTACTTCTAGCAGGCAAGAAGGGGAAACAGTTTAGTTTCCCTCTTTCTTCACTGAAGAGAAGACTGAGGCAGAGTCAGGGTGAGGGGCCCTGACCGCCTCCTGTGTTCTCTGTCCACTGCTGCTTCCCGCACTCTGATCCAGTTTTAAATTTCAACCAACTTTCTTCCTTTTTTCTGTTATTAAAAACCTCCATTTATTGATTGCTAACTAGGTACCAGGCTGTGCTAGGCTCATATCATATATCTCCTATGTGCCTAGGTCAGTGGTTCTTACAACCCTGGCTGCATATTTGAATCACTTGGGAAGTTAAAAAAAAAAAAAGATGCCTGGGTCACGGGCATTGCTGTTTTTCAAAGTTCCTCAGATAAATCAAATGTGCAACCAGAGTTAACTACACTGGAGACACTCAGACAGCTATTAGCAATAACAGCTGTCATTCCCTAATAAATGTAATGTACTAGGCCCCTGGTTCCCAAACATGAATAATATGGGGATCTTTTTTAAAAAAACCCAAAGCTCAGGCCACATCCCAGATCAATTAAATCACCATCTGTAGAGGTCAGAGTCATCAGTATTTTTGAAAGTTCCCCAGGTGATTCCAAACATGCAGGCAAGTTTGGGGACCGCTGGCCTAGCACTGTTCTAGGCACTTACTCGTCCAATCCTTCAAACAACCTATAACAGAGGTTCCCAAATGTTGCTGCACATTGGAATCACCTGGGATCTTAAAAAATTCAAACCTAGGTTGCCTGGCCCAAGTCTAGGCTCCTAACAACTGTTACATCTGTTGAATAAGTGCATGAATCACTCCTAATCTATACTTAACCACTCTGCAAGTTAGAGTTTTACAGGGGAGGCGATAGAAGTCCAGGTTACAGGACATGCCAGAAGTCACACAGCTGGTTGGTGGTTGTTATGGATTGAATTGTGTCCCCCAAAAATATGTGTTGTAAATCCAAACCCCTATACCTGTGAAGGAAACCCTGGTGGCATAATGGTTAAGAGCTACAGCGGCTAACCAAAAGGTCAGCAGTTCAAATCCACCAGGCACTCCTTGGAAACCCTATGGGGCAGTTCTATTCTGTCCTATAGGGTCGCTATGAGTCAGAATCCACTGGACAGCAAAGGGCTTGGTTTTTTTGTTTTTTTTTTTTAATACCTGTGAATGTAATCCCATTTGGAAATAGGGTTTTCTTTGTTATGTTAACAAGGCCATTTCAGTGTAGGGTGTTCTTAAACTAAACACTTTTGAGATACAAAAGAGCAGATTAGGCACAGAGGCAAGTAAGCATGAATTGAGGAAAGATAGATGCCACCTGGAGATCTCCAAGGAATGCCGAGAAGAATACACAATTCAATCCGTAACAACCACCAACCAGCTGTGTGACTCTGGCATCTCCTGAACCTGGGCTTCTATTGCCTCCTCTGTAAAACGCTAACTGAAGAAGCTGAGACAAGTACTTTCCCCCAGAGAGGACAAAGAACGCCTTCCCCTAGATCAGGTGCCCTGAATTTGAAATTCTAGCCTCCTAACTGTGAGAAAATAAATTTCTGTTTGTTAAATCCACCCACTTACGGTATCTCTGTTATAGCAGCACTAAGAAACTAAGACAGTGGTGGAACCAGGATTTGAACCCACAGCCAATGCTCTTTCTCTCTTGCTGAGAGTGCTAGGCCTGAACAAAGGGCTACCTACACTAGACTGCCCCCCATAACTCACCTCGATGATGAAGTTGCCGATTTCATCTGGGTTGGCTGGACGTGGACGGTACATGGGTGTGGGGATGAAGGTTGGTGCCACATCATTGCGAAGAACCACCTCAGGCCGGGCCTCCAGACCCCGGTGGAGTTGGGTGATGTCATAGTCCTTTATGAAAATGATGGAGCACTGGATTGAGAAGAACCGACCCTCCCCACTTCCTCATCATTTACATTTCACCCCACTTGGATGTTTGGGTACATAGTTAAGTCTTAGAAGACAGATAAAGGTCAGAGATTTCTGAAAGCCCTAGTTTCCATCCTCCTCTACCTTCCCAAATTAAGCACAGGCTCAAGGTCAGCTTGGCTGAAGCCAAAGAGACTACAACAATGGATCAGACACCCTCTCAGAAGAGGAGAGTTGGTGGTCAGTGCTGCATGAAGACTGATGCTTCATACCAGGGTTTGGTCAATGTAGCCAAGATGGTCAGTTGGCTGACCCAGCCATCCCTGCTAGTGGCCCTGAGGGCATCCACTTCTAACCCCCAGGCTTCCCAATGCCTCACCTGGTCTTCTTCGCCACCCCCTTCTTCACCATAGTAGAAGACGTTGTCCCGGGTGTCGTCTTCTGGGAGCAGGAGAGGATCCTTGCCCTTCCGCCTCTTTCTCACCAACAAGAGGAGCACCAACAGGAGGACTGAAAGAGTTTAGGAGTGAATACTCACCCCCTACAACCATATAACTGGCCAAGACCCCCAAACCCTCAGGGCCCCATCTAATTTTAGACCCCTCCACTCAGTAGCCAGAGCAACAACCCCTATCGCATTCCTCTCCTACTTAACATACTTCAATGGCTCCCTTTGCACCTGAAAAAGCCCAAACTCCTTATCAAGGCCTACATGATTTGGCCCCTGCCTCTGCCTCCAACCTTCCCACTGACCCACCTACAAAAGTCTAGCCACATTAGCCTCCTCTGAATTCCTCAAGAATAGGCCATGCAGTTTCCCACTTCAGAACCTTCATATAGGCTGTTTCCTCACCTGGAACACTCTCCATGTGTATACATGACTTTCATCCTTCAGGTCTCAGCTTAATGTTCCCTCCTCCTAGAAGCATTCTGACTTCTTTCCCTCCAGCTATAATTCTATATCATTTGCTGTCAGTCTTCCCCATGTTAGTAGTATTGGTCCTTACAAAAATCCTCCTTTGTGGGGATGGGGACCTCCCAGTAGACATTACCTTTTAAGGAGACTCTGCTAGTCACCAGCTGGCCCCTAAATGAGCCTGGACTTTAAGTTAAAGCAAGGTTGCTAGGTTATTTGTATATGGGAGGAATGGCCAACTAATGCCTGGCTGTTTTTCCAAACTGCCATGACTATACTGTTAACCTCTAGCCCTCTCTGAGGCAGTCTGATGTAACAGGTCACAGCTACTGCTTAGGTTTATCACTTTTTTGCCTGCTGATGGAACTGTTAACTCTCTGACCAGACAAGACAGACCTAGCTTTCTTTGGGAGTCCACAGGTTCTCAGGGTGTACATCCCATGTTGGCTAGACTATAACCTCTCCCTTCCGCTTTTCGTCCTCACATGAACCCAAGGCTTGTATGTCTAATGCCTACTGATATCCCCACTTGGATTGGCCTGACAACATGGCTCTTTCCACCATCCTTCCCCAGTCAGTAAATAGGAATGTCATGTTTCTAATTGCCCACGCTAAAAGCGCTAGAATCATCAATTCTGGGTATTTGCAAAATACCTTGAAATATGACTGCCTCCAATGCTACCATCTTGGTCTGAACCACCATCACCATCTCACTCCTGGATTATGACAACAGCCTCCTACACAATCTCCCTGACTTCACCCTGGTCCCCCTACAATCTGTTCAGTAGAAATTCTATAAAATTTAAGTCATCACATCACTCTTCTGCTCAAAATCTTCTGCGAACTTCCCATTTCAAGCAGAATAAAGCCAAAGTCCTTACAAAAGCCTACAAGCCCCAACATGACGATCCACTGCCCCATCACCTCTCTGACCTCCTCTTCTGTGCTCTTTCCTCTCAATCCATTCTAGCCATGCTGGCGTCCTTGCTATTTCCACACACCAGGCACAGTCCTGCCTCCAGGTTTTTGACTTGTTCCCTCTGCCTGGAGTGGTCTTCTCCTAGATATGATGCATGATTTGCTTCCCAACCTTTCAGGTCTTCACTTGAATATCCCCTTCTGGCAGACCTTACACCCATCTTGACATTCCTGTTTGGTTAAGTGCTGTATCTCCAGTGCACAAAACAGTGCTTGGCACACAATAAAAAAGAAGGAAAGAAACTAAACCAGTTGCTGTCAACTTGATTCTGACTCATGGTGACCCAATGTGTGTCACAGTGGAACTACGTGCCATAGGGTTTTCAATGGCTAGGCTTTTCACCTGAACCCAAGGCTTATATGTCTCATGCCTATTGATCACCAGGCCTTTCTTCCAAGGCATCTCTGGGTAGAGTCAAATCACCAACCTTTTGGTTAGTAGCTGAGTGCTTAATGGTTTGCGTCACCCAATAAGTATGTTGAATGAATTAAAGCTTGCTCTTGTATTCATATCTGATTAAATTGAGTGCTTTCTGTGCAAGGACCAAGTCAGAAGGTAGAAAAAGCAACTGTGATAGGTTCTACTTTTAGAGCAAAGACTTAGTTTTAATTAAACACCTCTGCCCACTAGACTAGTGGTTCTCAAACTCTAGCTGCATCAGAGTACCCTGGAGGGCTTGTTAAAACACATTGCTAGACCTCCATCTCCAAGTTTCTGAGTCAATAGGTCTGAAGTGGGGCCTGATAATTTGCCTTTCTAACAAATTCTGGGTAATGCCAATGCTGCTGGCCTGGGGGCCACACTGGAGAACTAGTGCCCTAGCCTCTAACTCCATGAGGGCAGGGCCAAGTCTGTTTGCTCACCACCATATCCCCTGGCACATTCCAGAAGCTCCATAAATATCTACTGACTGATGGACACTCCTAGAATTAACAGTTCAATGAACAGATGGGCAATGTTGGTGGTCCCTTAGTCCCAGAAGTTCAAGACAGAATCAGCTCTTTTAACTACCCCTGGTACTCACGTAGCAGAGCCAGGACAGCCCCTAGGATAGGGAGAACGAAACCCCCTTTCCAGTGTTCGGGGCAGGTCTCCACATGGCCATGGCAGTCACACACGGTGGCCCTGATCACCGTCAGCTGTTCCTTGTTGCCGTGGTCAGACAGAGAAAGGTGCACGTCATATGTGTCTTGCTTTAGGAACTTCTTCAGGGACAAGGCCACTGTGTCTCCTGAGGAGGACAGACAATTTATCGGCCTTGGGATACCATATACAGGAGGAACGGAGCATACCATGACAAAAGTGTGAGGAGACAGCCCTACATCTGGGCAAAGGGGAGAAATATCCCAAAAGCAGACTTTGGCCAAGCGCTAAAAATTGTTATTTGGTCAAAGCCAAATCTGCCATCATGGAAATGATTATTTATTGGGATAAAGAATAAATTTACCAATATATTTGAAAAAAAAATTACCATTTTTTTAAATATGTGACATTTTAAAAGTGATGTCCTACAGAACCAATAATTTCTCAGCACCATCAGCTGCTAGACTGTTGGTTGCCTCAAAAAGAACACATTACTGTATTTTTATGCAAATAACATACACCTTGTACATTTGTTTGCCAACTACTTCGTGCTCCCCCCTTCCCCTCCAGGTATTTTCCTAGAGCTGCTATGCCAATTTTATTTTTACATGTTGCTGTAGAAACATTTAGCATAGTGCACTTTCGAAAATACCTGGTGTGAGGGGAGTAGCTGGGAAACAAACGTTAGAAGCCCCACATTATTTGTGTAAAAATACGGTATTCTTCCTAAGAGATCTAGCTAGCCAATCTCTTAATATTCCTGTTAACTGGCCACTTATTTTCCTATTTCACTACTTTTAAGTTCACTACCATATATTATTGCAGCATCTTGTTCTTGCAATAAAAATATACTGTTTATACCTCAAATGTATGATAAAATTCAATATATAAAACTTCTTGTATTTCAAAGCGAGTATTCAGTTATTAACAAATCCAAGTGACACATGCATTGTTTAGTTAGCTGATGTCGTTAAAGAGGACCAGATAGGATGCTAACCTGCATTATCACAAGATTAGTGATCACACACAAATTCAGGGATGCCAGAAATAGGCATTGGACTAACTGGCCTTCAAAGGCCCAAGTCAGTGGCAGATTTTGGCTAAGCACAGAGCAGAAGCCAAGCCTCAGTGCAGCCCACACAATAGGTCCCACTCTGGGGAGACTGTGTGGCAGTCCTAGAGTATGACAGGGGGGTGGGGGAGTATTTTTGTGGTCAGGGGTGTCTTTGTAGAAAGGTCTGCACATGGCACCCTTCAGTTTACACCCAAGTTTCTCAAAGGGGAGCTATAAGCTTTAGTGGGACTATATTTTATCATAAAGAACTTTCCCAGGCATTGCAAGTCTCCACTACTAAATGCAAGTAGTGTCCCCCAATCATAGGGACAATCATAAACAACCCCCACATTTCTAACCCACCCACCCCCCAGACTTGCCTGCAGATCTCAGCACTGACCTCAAGGCATTCTCAGTTAAAGGGCCCTGCACACTCACTGGCCCCTTAGTAAAAAGGCCCAAAGGGAGAATTGACCTTGTTCCCATTCAGCACAGGTAGGCAGAGAGAGTTCTGCAGACTGATTATTCGGTCTACACCATGCAGAGAGGCCAGCCTAGGGCGTGTCACCAAACACCCCTACCACCATCCTGCTCCCATGCTGTTGGGCTGATTTCTCAGTTGATGATGATGATGATGGAGGCCAAATTGATGCTTAGTATGTGCCAGACCTTACTCTAATCCTCACTACAACTTTAAGAGGTAGTTACCATTATCCTCGTTTTACAATGCAGACATTGAGGTTTAGGGAGGTCAAGCAACTAGCCCAAGGTCACACAGGGATGGAGTCTGGGTTAATGCCCCCAACAACAGGGACAAAGGGAGACAGAAAAACTAAATTAAAACCAAGAACCAGGTATCAATACTATTATCAGGCATTGGTACCTTTGGGATTTGGCCATAATGCTCACACCTCCACTGAGCTAAATCTAGGATTGTTGTTAGGAAATGAAGGTGGTGAAAATGTCAGCCTCAGAAAGGTACTGAGCACTTATATACCAGACAAGATGCTTTTCATGTATTCATTTACTTAATCCTCACAATAACTATATGGGACTAGGCTCAATTATTGACCTCCATTCTACAGATAAGGAAATTGAGGAACGGTGACTTTGTGTGGTCACAAAGCTAATAAATGGAGAAGTCAGATCTTAAACCAAGGCAGTCTGACCCCAGAGTGCAAGCTTTTACATTATATGTTCAGTGAAGAAAAAAACAGCTTCTAGACCACAAGGGGATGATAGGATACCAACTTGGGCTCCCCAAAGGAAAGGTGCTGGATGTATACACCCAAATCATAGGCATCCTAAAAATGAGACAATGCAGGTGTTTGAAATAGGTCTTCCAAGTCCTTTCTGGACTGGGCTTATAAGGAATAATGGAAATTTGGTATTTTTTGGGGGGTAGAGCCTGAATGTACTGGTTCCCCACTCCCCTCCCTAGCCCCAAGAGGAAGGGGCAACAAGTTAAACCACAATGATGTAGTTTCTCCAGGAGCCCTACTGGCAGCTGGAGTTGCACCCACCTTTCTTATGCACTGTAAATCCTCACCCACTTGATGTTAATAGGACCCCTTCTCCAGTCCTTGTGACAACTGTAAATTCATTGAAAGCTAAGAACCTCAGAGCTGGCGGATCAGAAGGAGGTAGGACAGGGAAGTGGATAGGAGAAGGAGTCGGGGGAAGGGGGGTGCAGGTGCTCTGGAGTCAAAGCTTGGTGGCTTCAATTGCTGCTCCACAACTTACCCACTCTGCGCCCTTGGGTATACTATTTAATCTCTCTAAGCCTCATCTGTAAATGAGGACAAAAATACTGACCACAGGTGGTGGTAGAAATATTAAATAAGGGGAAAAAAAAAAATCTTGTGGTATCACTTGGGTTCAATAAATCGTAGGCAGCAGAGCATCATGGTAAATCAGACCACCTGGGTTCAAATCCTGGTACCATCACTTTCTAGCCATGACACGTCTGACAAGATTTTTAGGATTCTGTAAGCCTCAATTTCCTCTTCTGTAATATGTGTATGTGTGCGTGTGTGTGTGTGTGCGTGCATGTGTGTGTGTGTGTGACAATATTCCCTTCTTCTCAGGATTGTTCTGAGGACTAAATAATCTAATCTCTGTAAAGCATTTGAAGCAGCATCTAGCATATAGTAAGCATACTCAGTGTGTGTTAGCTGTTACTATTATTAGCTGCCATCAAGTTGTCCCATCTCATGGTAACCCCATGTACAACAGAATGAAATGCTGCCCAGTCCTGTACCATCCCCATGATTGGTTGCGGTTTGGACTATTGTGATCCACAGGGATTTCACTGGCTGATTTTCAGAAGTAGATCATCAGACCTTTCTTCCAGGTCCATCTTAGTCTGGAAGTTCCACTGACACCTGTTCAGCATCATAGCAACACGCCAGCCTCCACTGACAGACAGGGGGTGGCTACACCTGAGGTACATTGGCTGGGAATTGAATTGGGTCTCCCTCATGGAAGGCAAGAATTCTACCACTGAACCATGACTGCCTCCTTAGCTATTATTAGTGTTGGAATCCTGACTCTCACTATGTGATATTGGGTGAGTCACTCCCTGTCTCTCTGGGCCTCAGTTTTTCCATCTGTCTAAGTAAGGCAGTTGGGCTAGAATGGTTTCTAAGGGACCCCGTGGAATTCCAAAGGTTTACATTAGGTTAATAAATAACATTTGGTTGTGTTTCTTGAGGAGATGGTTACCTCTGTGACCCACAAGACTTTGGGGCAGGAATATGTGCAGGATCCTGGATGGGACAGACACCCACCCAGCAGGCCTGGCATCCACCTGCCACCACCTCTCAGTTACCTTTCTCGTTGATCTCTGCCATCCAGTGCATGTCTGAGTCGCGGATGAGCTGGGCCTGGAAAGGGGAGGTGTGGGGGAACAGGTCCTTGTCTGTGATGTTCAGCACTTGGGGCACAGGGTCTTGGTTGCAGATGGTGATCTGACCGGGCTCAGGGACTGGGCCATGGTCGTTGATGTCGATAAGTGTTAGCAGGAGTGTTCCTGTGCCAGTGGTAGGAGGACTCCCTGTTCATAATTACACATATGATTCCTTTTCAGTATCTGCCCTTGGTTGGATTGATGAGTCAATGTTAAGCTCCCCTAGCAGTTCATAGCACAGTAGCAGCTACTTCATCTAGACAGCCACTACCAATCTATCACAAGCGGAAACCTACTGGCCATCTTGGGGCTAATCTAGTGTTCGCCAATCAGTTTCAGGGGAGCTTTCTTTCACAGCCCTGCTGTAGTCTCTCAACTGCCTCCAGGACCTGTTTGACTATGTATCAAGTCAGAGATGGTAATCCCACCATTTATCCCAATCCTGTTATGGTGTGATATCACTAATCAATCATGGTACCTTCCCAACGATCCCAAATGCATCCTTAACATCCTGCTCAAGACATTAATCCAGGCAGCCCCTATCAATCAATCACAAGGGGAAACTGATAGGTCAATTCAGGGTTCAGTGACTCACGAATTTAGGCTGAAGGGAGCCCTCAGGGTAATGATACCTGTTAACTCTCCGGGTTTTAGAGATTCTGAGTCATGGCCAACCATCCTAGGACGTCTTTAAAGTGCTCCTCTGAAAGACCCCTTTGACTGTCCAGAGTGGTTTTGTTGGCTTCCCTTCCCCACACCATACTCTGTCTGGGTGGCTGGGGGGGCATGCTATGTCATGCCACCTGGAAACCAAATATGCCCCCTATGGAAAGACTGGGAGGAAGCTCTCACCATCATCTGTGGCCAAGACTATGACTTCATAGCTGTTGTTCTTCACAAACTGCTCATCCTCGCGGTCCAAGACGCCCATAGCAGTGATCTGCCCACTCTCTGAGTCCATTGCCAGCCACCCTGCTGGGTCTCTCAGGATGTGGTAGCTGGAGAGGAAAAGGTGAGAAGGGTCACATCCTAAATTACTCATAATTTTGGTGTCATCATTCAAAGGCTCCTTATGCCAACTGGCAAATGGAATCAGGGCCTCTGGGCTCCTAAGTAGGATCAAATGGAAAATGCATCTCACCTATGAATGGGAACCTAAAGTAGCAGGTGGGGGTCCCAGCAGAGATACAAGAGGGAGGGGAAATACCTGTCCCCTGGGCCCCTACTCAGTCTCTAGGTAGATAGGAAGAAGTCTCGTGCAGGGGTGGTGTTCAAAATATTAAACAATTTTTATGGTAATCAGAACAAATGCTGGCCATAATAAACAGCCCAGCCAACTGTACTGGTGCGTTTGAGCTCAATTTGAACCCAGCTCCTGAGTACCTGATCTTCTGATTCTCCTTGTCAGGGTCTTGAGCAGTGTAGGTGCAGACAGGCTCCCCAGCGAGGATGCCCTCCTGGACTTTAGCAACTTTGGAGGGTGGGACGAACATGGGTGGTTCATTCACATCCTTCACATGGACCACTACGGTGGCTGTGGAAGTCGAGAGCTTCACCACAAAGGGATTCTCATTGGTCACTTCAACATACAGGGTGTGCTGGTTTTTGGCCTCAAAATCCAAGCCCTAGGAGAGAAGAGGAAGAAGCAGCTGAACCATCATTTTGAGAGAAGGCCCCACGCAGTTCTCTGGATGTCAGAGGGAAAGGATGTGGGTGTGAGATCCCACCAGCAGCAATGCTGCACCCTGTTCCATAAAGCCTCCTGTGTTTCCTAAGCGGACATCCAGTGGGACCTATCCTAATACCCTAAAGGCAATTTGACTAGTAAGTTCTAGAGCACTGGTTCTTAAGCGGGTGGTGAAACTTGGGGAGGCATTTCTAGTTGTCATAATGACTGGGGGTGCAACTGGCACTTAGAGGCTGGGGCAGGAATGCCAAGTCCTACAATGTTACTGTCCCATGTTCCATGTGCCTTTTCAATATCCCCTTAGACATTTTTAGGTGTGAAAAACTTGTTTGTAATTGGAGTTTAGAATATGTTTTACATATAATCCAAGTTTTTTGGTGTGGTTTTAACATATAGTAAATTTTCTAGGAATGCAATGTCTGAGGGAAGCTTGTACTTTGATTTGCTCAGGGCTTTCTGAAAAGTTGTTTATTCGCAGCTCTGGAAAATCACCACAAAGGCATCAATACCATTTAAGTATCTGAGTCATCAGGGCGACCTACAGTATCCACTGCATGCAGATGATTCTACAAATAGATGCAAGTAACTCACCACTTCGTTACGATGTCTAGTGTAGTTGTGCCCAAAGGTTTACATACTAAAATATTTCATCATCAGTAACTTTCCTGTAAATTTCTCCTTTATTTTACCATTAGAACAGCTATGTTTCTAGGAATTCTATGGATTGGGTAAGTTATATTATAAATGAATTTCATTTCAGCATGTAAAAGAGGCATTACCAACTATTTGTTGCAAAAAGAGGACATTGAATCCTATGAAAAATTTGAGAATACTCTTAAAAGTATTAAATAAAATGCTGCTTCTCAAACTGGAGCATTCTCTGTAATAAACCAGGAGGTAAAAGAAATCAAAGAAAGACAAGGCTCATCTTCTTGACGCATCAATTTTATTCAAAGACTTTTTGAGAGGCAAGGGTACGCCTCCCTACTAAGTAATTTTAGAGATTTCACTATTCAAACACCAAGATATGTGGTATCGGATAATGCAAAAGAAGCATGAATCAAATAAAACAGATAACTTCTGCTTTTGGGAGACTCTTCTCATCAGAAGACTGATTAGGGGCAGCTGCTGGACCCTGGTATCTGGGAGGAGGGACTGCACTCTTCTGCTTCAGTTAGATCAGCAACTCTTAGCTGTTTTATGAATTGGGCGCCTATGTAAGATTTAGTTGAACAAAGGGATCCCTATACAAGAGAGGACAGAACAGTGTTGGAAGGCACTGGCCTGGTCCACTCCTTCCTGAATGGTCTGAGGCAGGTGGCCCATCATACCGCTTCCTACAGTTAGGGCAGGTGTGGCCTTCCTAGAAGCTGCAGAGTGGCTGCCCTAGGAGTAACCCTTGTCTAAGCCAGAACTGACTCACCTTCCTGGTCATCAGGATACCCTGGTTGCTCTCGGGATCGGTGGTGATGTTAAAATAGTCCCCGTCATCACCTCCCACAATTCGGTAGGTAGCACGCCATGCCGGTGACTTGGGGAAGTCCAGATCGGTCACTGTCAGCCTCTGCACCTCGTGACCCACCGCGTTCTCAGGCACCCAGGCCTCGTACTGTCAATGTGCAAAGCACAGCATGTTCAGAGCTGAGAGTATAACAACTATCCAGAGACTGTTCCACTCTTTGCAGCTGTGAATCTTCAGCCAACTCCAGGGAACCCCATGTTCCTCACTGTCTCCTGGACCACCCAACCCACTTCTCAGGTTTTCAGGGCACACACCAGGTACAGAATATCCCAAGTACCAGCCTCATAGCTCTGGTCAGCTCAGACCAATCTTGGGCCCACCTGACCTACACCCAGGGCTGATGCATGCAGAAGGATCTCTCTGGTCTGGGTGCCCAAGCCCCTGCCATGTGTAGCCACCTGTCTAGATGCGATGAGAAAGATGTAAGGAAGATGGCAAGAAGGGCTAGGTGCCTGACTCTGGGGCACTGACCAGGAACTTTTTTGGGGGGCTCCAGGACAGGTGGCAAAGGCTGGGAAATCAGCTGCTCAGAACAAATTTTTAGTGAGGCTTCAACATAATGGAGAAATGTCCAGAGGCCAGAGCTGTCTAAAACCAGAAGGGGGCCAGCTTGAATGGCACTGAGTCCTCTGTCACTGGAGGTATACAAGCATTCATTGAGGAAGGTGGGCAAGGCAAATGGATGTTTTCATATCAACAAAGAATTTCGTATAGAGTCCTTATTATGTATCAGACATTGTGTTAAGAACTTTACATAGATTATCTCATTTAAAACTCGGAACAGTATGGTAGTTATTATCATCGTCTCCATTTCACAGATTAGAGGCACAGAGAGGTTAAGTAGCTTGCCTCAGGTCACACAGCTAGTAGGTGCGGGGCTGGGACTTGAACCAATGCAGGCTGGTTTTGGAGTTTCCTTAGGAAGAAAAACCCTTTGTCCTTTTTTTTTAACCGGAAAATATATTTATTATATATTTCAGCCTTTAAATTTTGCAAACCTGTTTTTTATCAATATAAATTTGCTTTATGAAGGTAAATTGTATAGGAACAGACAATGGAAAAGTACTTATTCTGATGCCCTAAAATCAGTGTTGGAGCCCTGGTGGTGCAGTAGTTAAGAGCTCAGCAGTTAACCAAAAGTTCAGCAAGTCCAAATCCACCAGCTGCTCCTTGGAAACCCTATGTAGCAGTTCTACTCTGTCCTGTAGGGTCAGTGTGAGTTGGAATCAACTCGATGGCAACAGGCTTAGTTTGTTTTTTAATATCACTGTTGTATTAAACTACTCTCTATAGAGCAAAAGGTAATTTAATCCTAAAGAAATACGTTTGTTCCCTGCTTCCCTAGTTTTTTTTTTCCTTTTTTTAAATTGTAGCAAATATATAGGTAACAAAGCATTTGCCATTTCAACCATCTTCACATGTACATGCAGTTTAGTGACAGTAAGTATGTTCATCAGGTCGTTCCATCATCACCATCCCGAATTTTTCTATCTCCCTTAACAGAAGCTCAAATGTCGTTAAAACGTCATGTCTTCCTCTCCCCCAGGCCTTCATTATTTGAAAAAGGAAGAAGGAAGGGGCTTTACCTTCTGGGGGTCAAACGTGGGAGCATTATCGTTGGCATCAAGGATTTCTACTATGGCCACTGCCGTGGTGGTGGAGCCGTCTCCATTCATGTCTGTGGCCTGAATAGTCAGTGTGTACTCAGGTACTTTCTGGGGAGAAAGAGGAGAGTAGAAGCCCACTGCGAGTTCAGTCTGAGGGGTGCCTCAGCCTGGGCTCCGCTAAACACAGCTTTAGGTGTAAGGGAGTATTTCTTGCATCCTCTCACCTTCCTTCTCACAATGCCCTCTCTTTGGCTCCTTGTCCTGACCCTCCCCACTGCCAGAAAGAACAGAAGCAAAGGGTGGTATGTGGGAGGAGAATGCTGGTACAAACATTTCTCCTGGGCCTGTCCTGGGGAAGTCTGGGCATTGTCCCCTGACCACTGGCTAGTCCAGAATGGGAACTTAAAGTGGGGATTTGGGCAAAGGTATTAATTAGGAAACAGGAGGCAATTCTAATATCCATGGAGCTAATTCTACTTTGTAGCACACAAGGGACAAATCTGGGCTATGTGCACACTAAGTGAGCCATTCTGAGAGGAAATGAGAAAACCTACAAAAAAAATACCAAACGTCTGCATTTTACAGCTGCCTTCTCAGCCTCGGAGGAGAATTAACAAGATTGTTTGGCAGTGGGCCATTGGCCCAAGAGAGCTGTGGGATGTCAGCATGTGAACACAGCAGCAGCCACCCCAGCTGACTTGGGTCCCCACTGCTCTTTCATAGGCTTTGAGAGCAGGGACAGGGGTTTCTGCTCGAGTGCCGGGCCCCAGTCCAGGCAAGCCTGGGTAGGCAGCACTTTCTCTCAGGGCCACTCACCTCCCGGTCCAGGCCGCTGGAGATGACACTGATGGTGCCTGTGCTCCGGTGGATGGTGAACATGAGTTCATGTGGGTCCTTTGGCTCTTGGCTATGGATGGAATAAGCTACCACCCCATTGTAGGTGCTGATGGCATCATCCTCATCTGTGGCTGTCACCTGCATCACAGAAGTACCTGGAAGGAAACAGGATTGGAGAAGAGATGAGTGAGCAGTCTTCCCTCCCAACTCTGAGTCCAGCCCTGCCCACTTCTGGAACTCTGAGAAGCTCCTCCCTCCCTGCCTACTGGCTTGGACTCATCTGCTACTTTGTGGCAGAGACTGCTAGTTGGTGCCCATTTTTTCCATTCTCTCCTTCCTCCTTAGAAACAGAATCCTCATTGTAGGCTGGTCACAGGCTCACCGGGAATAAAGACTATTTCCAAGCCTCCCTTGCAGGTAGCTGTGGCCGTGAGAATAATTCTGACAAATGAGAACTTTGGAGAAAGTGTTCTTAGGAGTGTGGGGCTGTTCTTCCCACCCCTTCCCTCCTTCCAGATGTAATGACTGGAGCTCCAGAAGCAACCACCTTGAGATAACCTTGAGAACAGAAGCCGAAACAGCAGAGCAACAAGATAAAAGGAGCTATTCCACCCAAGCTATTCCACTATTTCACCCAAAGCAGCTCTTTGCCCCACAAGGTCTCCAACCTAGTTTCCCAACATTATGAAGCACTATTCCACCTTGAGGTGACTACCTTTAGACATCATGAATGTAAGAAGAAAAAAGAAAAAAAAAGCTTCTATCTTGTTTAAGGCACTGTTTCTTATTGTGGGGGTTTTTGTTATTGGCAGTCTAACCAATTCACACTTATCTGTAGTTCTCCACATCTCAGAGAGGAAGGAAGAGGAGGAACCCTCTCCACCAGCACCTATCTTCATGAGGTCATTGATACACACCTACTTCCTAGTCTTCTGCTGGCCCCCTGCCACCCTCTTCTCAAGCCATGGCAATTTATTTTGAGCTGTCTTAAAAACCATGTTCTAACACCTCGCAGCCTTTGCTGCTTTCCATGTAGTTGCTTATATTACATAGCAGAATTCACATACTATTTCTAATCTTCACAATCACTCAAGGTAGATATTATTCCCATTTTCAGATGTAAGGGTTGATTCTGAGGGTCAAGAACTTGCCCAGGGCTATAGCTGGTAAAGAGGCAAAGTCAAAATTCAAATTTAGGTCTTCGCAGCTATGAAGCTAGTGGTTCACAAATCTGGCTGATCATCTGAATCTTCTGGGAAAATTTTAAATATACAGATTCTAGGGCTCTCCCCCAGAATCACTCTGGTTCAGGAATCTTTCAGGGGGAATCTGAATGTTTAAAAAGACCCCAGGTGATCTGATGCACAACCAAGGAAATCAGGTGCAGAGAGGTCTTCTAGCCTTTAAGTGTCTAGGCTGACCTCCAGATGGTTCCAGAATTTAACGCAAGGCCAGGTTTGGGCCCAGCAGATCCACAGCTGTGCCCTCCCCAATACTCTTACCTGGGAGTACTCCCTCTAAGACGCTCCCTCTAAAGACACCCTGGGTGAACTTTGGCTTATGGTCATTCTGGTCAGTCACAATGATGGAGATGTTCATGGGCTCCTCCACTGAGGCACCATTCTCAGACACAGCGTGGCCAAAAAGCTGTGGGCACACAAGTCTGAGATCAGCCTGTGGCTACCCTCCCCAACAGGGCCCTGCTTTTTGTCCCCTGATGGGACATTTACATTGGATGCTAAAGGCTACTTGCCTCATACTTGGCGATCATCTCTCGGTCCAGTGGCTTATTCAACAACATCCAGCCGTTCTCCTTCTCTATGGTAAAGACACCCTCGGGGGGGCTATCAGCCCCAGGCCCTGTGATACTGTAGAAAATCTTGGTACCTCTGTCATTATTAGATTTGAGCTGGAAGCAAAAGAAAGTGGCAACTGACAAAGTGACAAATGTCTCACAATTGCAGCAAAGAACTCTGTTGGAGTGGAAGCCTCAGAATCGCCTTATCAGACTCTGCCCCTAAGAAGGAGGAGTCCCTCTGCAGGCCTAGTGGTGAGAAACTACATATTCAGTCTCTGGACAGAGTCCCAGCAGCCACCAATGACTCCTAGGAAGAAGGCATAGTCATACCTGATATAGCCTCTGGGGGAAGGGACCCTTGCCATTCTCAGGGACATAAATTGGCGGGGCCACCCATTCCCTCTTGCGTCTTCGTAAGATACGTTTGGATGGGAAGCTCTTCAATGCCTTCTCCTCCTGCAAGAAGAGAAGACCCCCTTAACCTAGATGTGCAAACATAGGAACACACCCCAGCACCCCCTCATTTATAGGAGTTAAGGGTGTGGAGAAAGAACTAGATGAGTCTATTGCAAAAAGAAGCTTGGGAACAACGTAAGTGCTGACTTACAGAGGACTGATTAAATACACTATGGTACATCTATCTAGCAGAATTCTATGCAGCTCCAAAAATGAGGAACGAGGCGCTCTCTATGTACTGACATGGAAAGATCTTTGATACATACTGCTAACTGAAAAGAGCAAGATAAAGAACAGCTTCCTATCATGCTTATTTTGTACCTGGCATTGTTCTACCTTTTGTGTAAAAAGGTATTAAAAATAAGACATTATCCTGGTCTCTCCATCACCCCAGAACTAAAACAATTTCCGAGGCCAACTCTTCAGACAGGGATTGGACTGGACTGGGGGACATAAAGTGATACTCGTGAGGAATGTGCCTCTTAGACAAGTTGATGTAAGAGACCAAAGGGGCGGCTTCTGTCCAGAGGTGAGAGGGAAAGGCAGAGAGAGTTAGGAGCTGGTTGAATGTTCATGGGGAATCAGGGGCAGAGGGGAGGAGTGCACTGTCGCAGAATGGCGTGAGCGGTTGGGGTCTCATAACAATGTTAAAAAAAAAAATTCTGTATGGGAAACTAACGTGAAATGTAAACTTCATTTAATTACATTAATTAAAAAAAAAAGAAAATGTAAGATTTTAAAAATCCCATTCATAATGGCAAAAAAAAACTTGTTAAATGCCTATTACTAAACCTAGTAAGAAATATACAAGGACCTATTTCAAGAAAACTATAAAACCAAATTGGAATATATATGAGAAAACTTGAATAAATAGATTAATATATATAAAAAAAAAAGACATGACTCATGTTTGCTTACATACAAATAGACAAAGTCTGTGAGGATGCAGGAGAAATTAATAACAGCGGTTATCTACGAGTAGGGAGTAGGAATTGTGTAGCTATATTAAGTATAAAAAGAAAGGTGCAGACATATGACTAGTATGTTAGCTTTTGCATAAAGGAGAGGGGGAATAGTCTATTTTTATATCTGCTTCAATATCTATAAAATAAAATCTGGAAGGGAAGATAAACCAGTAACAGTGGCTATCTATGTTTTCTCTTGGAGGGGTAGAGAGGAAATTAGGCAGATGGAGGCAGGCAAGGAGAGATTTTTCATTACATAACTTTATATTTAAAATTTTTAAACCATGTAGATATATTAGCCATTAAAAAATTAAATTCAAAGAAACAAAGAAACAACAATTTAGCTCTTTTAATAAAGAATGTTCGCCTTGAGCATTACGCTTTTTTAAAGAATTATCTATATGAGATTAAATGGACAACAGTAGGGAAATCCTGGTGGCGTAGTGGTTAAGAGCTGCTAACCAAAACGTTGGCAGTTCAAATCCACCAGGTGCTCCTCGGAAACCCTATGGGGCAGTTCTACTCTGTCCCATAGGGTCACTATGAGCTGGAATCGACTCGACAGCAACAAGTTTGGTTGTTTTGGTTTGGACAACAGTAATTCTAAAACACAGATGAGAACTTGAAAGGGCAGAGTCTAAGTTAATGGTGGTAAAACAATATCTGCAAAGATAGGGAGAATGGCGACAATGTGAAATATGTAACCACTGTCAATGATCTGTATATATAAAAATTGTTGAATGGGTATATGTTTTGTTGTGTATATTTTCACCCAAAAAAAAAGAAAAAGGAAGTGTGGCCAAGTGTCTCAGGTCTGTCTTCCCAGAGACTCATGGGATTGGCAGTCCTATGTTAGAATTGCCTTCAGCTGTTAACCAAAAATGTCGGTTGTTCGAATCCACCAGCCGCTCCTTGTACTCTTCTATTCTGTCCTATAGGGTCGTTATGAGTTGTAATCGACTCAGCAGCAATGGATTTGTTCTTGTTTTTGTTTGTTTTAGGGGGAGGAGGGTTTACCTATATGACATGAGAAATAAGCAGAGGAAGGTGGGAGAGAAAATCCAAGGGAGAAAGGGCACTGGGCTTTCCCAGGGTGGTTACTCACAGGCAGCCCTTTGCTCCACTGCCCTAACTCTCTAGCAGCCCCTCTGGGTAGCTTCAAGTGATCTACTATGTAGATCAGTACCCATGCCCACAGCTGTGGACAAAACTCTGGGCTAACACTACCTCCTCTGAAGGCTTAACTTGGCTGACAACAGCCACAGCGACCAAGGGCTCCTGGCCATCAGCATTCTGGGCATGCACAGAGAACGTCCTTCTCCCATCCTGCAGGTGGACATGGTGTTTCACCCGGACTGTTCCATCATTCAGCACAGCAAAGTCGTTGTCATCAGTGCTAAGGAGGGCTAACTCTTGCCCAGGGCAGCCTGTGAAAACTACTGTGGGGAAGGGAAAAAAGAGAGTATTAAGAATGGACTTCTGAGACCAGAAGAAATAGATGGTGCCTGGCTACCACCAACGACCGCCCTGACAGGGAACACAACAGAGTCCCTGATGGAGCAGGAGAAAGGTGGGGTGCAGAACTCAAATTCTAGTAAGAAGACCAGACTTAATGGTCTGACTCAGACTGGAGGAACCCCAGAAAGCATGGCCCCTGGATTCTCTATCAGCCCAGAATTAAAACAATTTCTGAGGCCAACTCTTCAGACAGGGATTGGACTGGACTGTGGGACATAAAGTGATAACTCGTGAGGAGTGTGCCTCTTAGCTCAGGTAGATACAAGAGACTAAACGGGCAGCTTCTGTCTGGAGGTGAGATGGGAAGGCAGAGAGGGACAGGAGCTGGTTGAATGGACATGGGGAATCCGGGGTGGAAAGGAGGAGTGTGCTATCACAGTATTGGGAGAGCAATTAGGGTCACATAACAATGTATGTATAAATTTTTGTATGGGAGACTAAGTTGAAATGTAAACTTCATCTAAACTACAACAATAAAAAAAAAAAAAGAAGGGACTACCCAAAGGGAAACAAGACCTGATGAGAGTCCCCTGACTGGACCAAGGACTGCAACCAAGAAGCTGCAGGAGGGGGACTTGGCTCACTTCCTCTGACCAGCAGTGTGACCTGGGGGCCTGCACTTGCTGACTAAACAAGTTTCAGATGGGGCTTCCAAGTCTGACCTCGAGTGAGGGCCACTCTATGGTCAGTGTGTGGGCAAAACCCCCTTTCATTGTTCGTGAGGTCAGAAAACCAAGATTACAGGCATTCAGTGACATTTGTCCAGGTGGCCTCATGAGACATAGGGCTGACTGAAGGTCACTGCTGGAGGCAGAAGATTTTCAGCATTTCCAAAGGCCATGAACCCACGTACATGCAATATGCACACAGATCACTCTGAACAACCTCTGGTTGTTTTAGTTTGTCATGTTCCTTCTGAATCCCCCCTGCTCGCCACCCTTTAAACAAGCACTCTGAGTTAGTTACCATTCACCAAGCCAGACACTGGTCCCATTTTATCCTTACAACTACCCTATCCTGGCAAGTATTAGGCCCTTTGCAAAGATAAGCAAAGGAGGTTCAGAAGCCGGGTCTGCCTGACTCCAAGATATGCTGGAGTATTCACAATCAATGTTCTTCTTTTTTAAATTTTTTATTGTGCTTTGGGTGAAAGTTTACAGAAAAAATTAGTTTCCTATTCGATAGTTTGTACATAAAATGTTCCATGACATTGGCTGCATTCCCCTCAATGTGTTAGAACTCTCCCCATTTCCACCCTGGGTTCCCTGTTTCCTCTTGTCCGGATTTTCTACCCCTTCCTGCCTTCGCATCTTTGCTTTTGGGCAAATTTTGTCCTTTTGATTCATATAGTTGATTGTTCTAAGGAACATGTTTCTCTTGGGTGTTATTATTTTATGGGCCTGTCTATTGTTTGGCTGAAAGGTAGTCTCTGGGAATGGCTTCAGTTCTAGGTCAGAAGGGTGACTTAGGGCCATACTCTAGGGCTTTCCTTCAGTCTCTGTTAGACCACTAAGTCTACTCTTTTTTGTGAATTTGATTTTTTGTTCTACATTTTTCTCCTGCTCTGTCCAGGACCCTATGTTGTGACTCTAGTCAGAGTGGTCGGTAGTGGTAGCCAGGCACCATCTATTTCTTCTGGTCTCAGGGTCGTGTAGGCTGTGGTGCATGTGCTCTGTTAGTCATTTGGACTAACTGCTCCCTTGAGTCTTTGGTTTTCTTCACTCTCATTTGCTCTGGACAGGACGAGACCAGTAGTTGTATCTTAGAGGGCCTCTAGTAAGCTTTTAAGACCCTGGACGCTACTCACCAAAGTAGGATGCAGAACATTGTCTTTATGAACTATGTTGTGCCAATTGACATAGATGTCCCCTGAGTCTATGGTCCTTTGCCTTCAAGCCTAGAAACTTTGTCCAATGAGGTGTTTGGTTATGTTTAAGAAGTTTCCATGACCGTGCCCCTTGTGTGCTCTATTGTCTATATTAATATGCATGTAAAACATCCACAACCAAACCTATATCTGCAGGTGGGTGTGCTCCCTGAGACACTCCCTCACCTCTTTAGCATACCTATCTACATATGTATCCATCCATTTGTAGATTATTGCTCCTACGACTTTCTATTGAGTTGTCTAATTCTGAAATTTTATTGCTAATCTTCTGGATTTCTGATTGCTGTCTCTCTACGGATTCTTGCAGCCTATTAAATTTGTCATTATGCTCTTCTCTAATCTTTTTAATTTCCTCTCTTGAGTGTTCTGCATTTTGATTAATTTCATTCCCAATCTCTTTAAGAGTTCTGTATATTAATCTTTTATATTCTGCCTCTGGTAATTCCACGAAATTTTCCCCCTCTGGAAAATTTCTAGATTCTTTATTTTGGGAGTTGCTGAAGCCATCATGGTCTGCCTCTTTTTGTGGTTTGATATTGACTGTTCTCTCTAAGCTATCAATAAGTTATTATATTTATTTTATGTTTGCTTACCGTGTCCTAGCTTCTTGTTATGTTTTGATATGTCCAAATAGGCTGCTTGTGTGAGCTAGTTTGATTACTGGCAGCTTTGAACCTCTAATGTCCTGTCACCAGGTGGTTAGATCTGTTACTAGGTATGTGAGCTCAGGAGTCCGCCCACTCCTCCTGTATGGATTCAGCTCAGGTGCCCAGGTAGATAGTCACCAAGTATGAGGTGCAGGTTCTCACTTAACAGTCCTAGACAGGAATGGGTGATTGGTGTAGGCACAGGCATCTGGCTGCAGCAGGGGGACACACTCTGAGCAAGGCAGGGGGTGACAGCTGCCCCCGAGTGTGCAGGAGGAAGGAGTGTCCCTGTTCCCTACAGTGTGTAGGTAGATGGGTTTTTCCAGCCGGACTATGAGCACCTAATGCTGTTGGCTGTAAGGACTGGGGGCACCTCTTATTCATGGGCCCCTATCGCAGGTGGCTAGGTGGCGTAGGTGGAGCCACGAGTCCTCAGGCCCCTGATGTGGGTAGATGAAGACCCTGCTTAATGGACAGAGCAGTGTAAATGTCATGAACCTGCCACTTCACAGCTGAAACAGTTGAAGTTAGACTTCAGGTATATACCCTATTGTACTGAGGTAATGAGGGCCTACGCTGTTGAAATGGGCCCACACAAGTCTATACAGGGGGAAAGGCACTCACAATCCATGGATCCCTTATGCCTGTGCCTAGGCAAAGGAGCTGTGCCTACCCTGAGTTCCTGGCTTAGGGGAGCCAGCAGTTTATTTTTTCCCGTTTGTTAATTTGTTCACTCTCCAAGACCAGGAAAATGGCTCAGGGCATGTGACGGATCCTACTTCCAGCCCAGGGGACTCGGCAATTGCTGAAACCAGTCCGGGACCCAGTGCAGAACAGGGAGCCAGGAGGTAAATGGGAGAGAGATTTTTCCCTAATGGGGGTGTTTTTGATCCATGCGGTAGGCCGGACGCAAGTACTTATCTTTCACCAATCAAGGGCTGCTTTTCACTGGTTCTGGGTGGCCAAGTAGACTGTCTGCTGCTGGGTCTCTCCCGGTGCAGAAAATGCCTGAGCACTGCTGCTTGCCTGCCTCACCACTCACCCATGAGCTGATCAGGCCTGAAGGGCTCAGGCACTCGCCGGGTCAGGTCTGGTAACTCCTCGCTGCTTCCGAACCATCTCTCCCTCCCCCTGCTACTCAGTCTGGTTCCTCAACTTTGCCTTTGATATTCAGGGCTCCCAGATTGTCATATATAATCGAGTCACTTGTTTTTTCAGGTCTTTGTTGTGAGAGGTTCCACCGGAAGCGTCTGACTACTCCGCCATCTTGGCCCCACCTCCCCATTTGTAGATTATTGTTTAATACTATTGTTGCAGGATTGTCTATGTTATAGTAATTACCGTAATTGCTCTTTGTTCTTGCATTCTTCTCAATGTCTTCCTTTGCCTTGGTCATGTTGTGCTGACTTCCCCCATATCCCCCAATATTAACATATGTCTTCTCTCTAGTTAGTAATTTTTCCCGCTCTCCCCCTCCCATATCTGATAACCATCAAATAATTTTTTTTCTGTGTACAAACCTTTTCTTGTTTTTTTTGTAATAGTAGTCTCAAACAATATTTGTCCTTTTGTGATTTATTTCACTAAGCATAGATTCATCCATGTTGTGAGATGTTTCATGGAGTCGTTATCTGTATCGTTGCATAGTATTCCATTGTGTGTATGTACCACAGTTTGTTTAGCCATTCATTCATTGATGGACACTTAAGTTGTTTCCATCTTTATGCTATTGTGAATAATGCTGCAATGAACATGGGTGTGCAAATGTCTATTTGTGTCACAGCTCTTATTTCTTTAGGGTATATACATAGGAGTGAGATTGCTGGATCATATGGTATTTGTATTTCTAGCTTTTTAAGGAGCGCCCTACCATTTTCCAGAGCCCTGGTGGCACACTGGTTAAGAGCTCAGCTGCTAACCAAAAAGTCAACAGTTCAAATCCACCAGCCGCTCCTTGGAAACCCTGTAGGGCAGTTTTACTCTGTCCTATAGGGTCACTATGAGTTCAAAATCAACTCAATGTCAATGGGTTTGGTTTGGTTTTCTACCATTTTCCATAGTGGTTGTACCATTTTCCATTCCCATCAGCAGTGTATAAGAGTTCCAATCTCCCCTCAACCTCACTAACATTTGTTATTTTCTGTTTTTTTGATTGGTGCCATTATTGCCTGGGTGAGATGTTATCTTATCATACTTTTGATTTGCATCTCTCTAATGGTTAATGATCATGAGCATTTCTTCATGTGTTTGTTAGTCACCTGAATGTCTTCTTTGGTGAAGTGTCTGTTCATATCCTTTGCCCATTTTTAAATTAGATTGTGTTTTTGTTGTTGAAGTATTGAAGTTTTCTATGAATTTCAGAGATTAGACCCTTGTCAGATAT